AAAAGGGGTCTGCTAAAGGTCGGATAGAGGAAAGAGAGTAAAAAAATACTTTGAGCGTTTTTGTCTTTTCAAAATTTATTGTATTTATAATAAAACACAATACAGATATAATAAGGGTATAAAATTAATTTCGATAGAACCACCATCCATCAAAGAGCTCTATCAAGGGACGTCATTGTAATTTAATAAATAAAAAGAGAGGTCAGTGTAGGTTGACGAAACATCAGGGAGGAGGTCAGTGTGATTATCCCATATCAAAATTGGCTAGGCACTTGACTTCAAGAGGGAACCATTTGATCATATTATGCAGCTAAATTAAATGTTTAGATATCATAACAACTAGCTGATTTTACCCTTATCCTTATAACTTATTATCTTCTCACAGATTTCACTTGATCTGCAGTTTTCTTAATTAGGAATTTCTTGAATTCTGCTGTCACACTAAAATGATTTCCTACAACAATTTTAGATTTTCTGTTACGAGGGGAAGTATTCCCGGAATAAAGTTCAGGTAATAGCTGCTTCTAGATGATGATTCAACAATATAGATCAATTGAAGCTAGCTCCATACAGTATATAATGGTTTTCTTCACTCAAGCTGCTTTTTGTCACTCTGACTCAATCGTCCATAGAGAATAGAGGTAATTACCACGAACAAAGAAATGCCTGTGTCATTCTAAATTCTATTTGTTTGCCTCAAGGAAACTGTCTACATAGATCATTGCATGAAAATACTCTTTTTCTTTGACATCATGTATGACAAGATCCCTACTCGTTCCTTCGTGTTGTATAAAACCAACTTAGGCCCGTTTGGATGGGTTTTTTAAATGCTGTTTTTGATTTTTTTTGGACTAAAAAGCTATTTTGAGTCTCGTTTGACAATTTTTTAAAAAAAGCTTTTGTTCTTTAAGCTCCGCTTGTTTAGGCGTAAAATATTGTTTAAAAAATATTTTTTTATTTTCTAGTATTTGATTGTCGTAAAATATTTACGTAGAAAAAAAATTTTAACCATCAATTTGCGATAAGTTATTTTACATGTCACGTCTAATAGATTCACCTCAATCTCGAGATAAATATTTATCAAATACCAACAAAGTAAAAAAAAGAGAATATTTTACCTAAAAAAAAATTTTAAATCAAAACAAACATTGCCTTAGTGTTGCCTATTAATGGCATAACTTTCCTCCAAGTCCCCCGGGTGGTCAACTTTTCTCCGACAACCAATTCTCAGTGAATATACATACATGCTATCATAGCTTGTGCTCACCAGTTTTGTAATCATCACAACACTTCATACCCAAATCTAATTAGGTCATCAGGACGGAAACCCCACCGAAAATAAAAAAATATAGTACGAAGGCAACGTGGAGGAAGCATCAGATCAACAAGGATAACGAGAAACAAATTTTATTTATTTATTTATTTTTATTTTTTTTAAGTAAATAAAATATTTGTGGAAAAAATTTGGTAATGAAAAATTTTAAGAAATGTAATTTTTCGTTGTGATGAATAAAATATTATATTTAAAATTTTCATTTCTCATATATTTTGTTGGCAAACTTTTAAAAATCAAAAGGCAAAAAAAATAAAATCATACAACAATTTAAAAAAGAACTTATTTTGTTGTGAGTTTATTTCCATACATAAATCTTACAGCCAAACATATCTTATTCTATTTATTTAATTTTTTTTTTTAACCCGGGATGTTCGGGATAGTACGAACCCTTAGGGCCCCTCGACAACTCGACTAATCTCCGAGGACTGGGAAGGGCATCTCTCCACCCGAACCGAGTAAGTCACTGCAAGGGCAGCGGAAGCTAGCAAAAAGAACACTCAACGGGACTCAAACCTTAGACCTTGAACTTGTTAAGCTCTAAAGTCCAGCGAGTAAATCGCTAAACCATATCCGAAGTGAATTCTTATTCTAATTGACATCTCTTTTTTCTCAAAAAAAAAAAAAAAAAAAAAAAAATTTCTGATTTACATGGATTGAACTGTGTTATAATAAACCTTATCTGAAGTAATTATTATTTTTGAAAATCCCTTTCACTAAGGAAGAAAGAGAAAATTTAATGAAGAAGATAATTGCTTTATTTGAGTGAGATTGGGATTGGCCGAAGTAGCACCAAAGGAAAGTAAATTTTAATTGGTGATTATAATGGAGGGTAATTGCCAACTCAATGATGAGTAGGTTATCTCTATCTGTGTGCTCGAATCATAAATGTATAAATAATTATTGACCTATTCACGGTGAGTAGGCAAGTCTTGTCATTTTTCTTATTTATTATTTTCCCGTTTTTGTAAATACTGTAGATGTGTGCATTTGTGATTGGAGTTTAAAAATGACATATTCACCATAGGGATGGCAACGGAGTGATTTTGGGCGGGTGTACCCTGTCCCGCCCCACAACCATTTAGAAACTCCTGCCTTGTCATCATCCAAAACCTCCTAAACGGGGCCCTTTCCACCCTATCCCCGTCCCGTTTTACTTTTTCACCCTGCGAGCACCCGCCCCGCTCTGTTTAGTTACAAAATTTCTCTTAATTTTTTTTTCCTCCTCAAATACAATTATATAACTATTGAAAGAATTCATAAAAAATAAGTAATCAATAATTTAACATAAAATTCAAGGGTATGAACGTTCTTAACTCGTAGGGCTCTGCTGCTTAGGGATGTCAATTTCCTTCGACCTAACTGGTTTTCGCCCCTAATCGGGTGGATTTAGTGGTCCCTAAATAGGTTTGGAACGGGTATGGTAAAATAATTGAAAATCTGAAGTGGTTTTAGAGTAAGGCGGATTCAATGATGACCCAAACCCGACCCCACCCTGATTATATATGTACCTTTTAATTTTTTTCTATATATAAAATATATATTTTATATTTTTAAGACTCTTGTTACTTTAGTGGAAGTGTGTTAATATATTAATATTCACTACTTATTAATTTTAAAGTTAGGCCAGCTTATTTATCAGTCCAATTTAAGTACATTAGGCTAATTTTTTTTTTTTACTACACGATAAAAGTGGCATAACCGGGCCCACCCCTGCTGCACTCTGCAATTAAATGGAGTACATGGGATGAGTCGGTATTTTGTTTACCGAAGTAAGGGCAGAGATGATATAATAATTACAAATCCGTTCCGAAGTAGGGGAGTAGTTGGTATGATAAATTTTTTAATGGACGGAGCCCGTCCCAATTCCGCCCCGTTGCCATCCCTCTGCCGCTTTCTAGAACGAGAAAAAAAGTGAGTGGATGTAATTTATGATTTTTAAAGCTAACTATATACTAAAAAAATAAAAATAATTTAATAATTTACTTACCTAAATGGGATGAGACGGTACGGGGTGATCCCCCAACCCTGCGCCGAACTCGCGCATATTTTCATAAATAAAAATTAGCCCAACCCAAATAAACTAAAAAGTTTCATAAAATCTTTTTAAACGGAATAGAGTGCGGCTGGTACCCGTCCCACAAGACAAATTACCATTCCTATTCACCCGTGTTAGAAGATGATGATGATGATTATTATTTTGGAGCTTTCGTTATAAGCAAATCAACCAAATAGTAGTTAACCTGTTATAAGCAAAATTACTACATGTAATGGTATTATGTAACAATGGTATTATGTAATAATGTTCTTCTCCATGTCTTGTCTTGTTATATCTCAACATTTTTCCATCTTTGACATATAATAATGTTTCTTCTCCATGTCTTGTCTTCATATATCTCAACAGAGTTCTGTCCTTGGCAGATTGGGACAATTTTGGATCAGGAACCGTTGGATTAATAAGACAATGACAAATTGAAAGTAACTCATTTTCCCTTGAAACCAAAAAGTTTAAGTCAATAGAAAAATATCAATCAGCACTTAAACTCTATCAATACTTTTATTGTCGTCTTGTGGTCTTTCTCATTTTATAGTCTATTATTTTTCTCCTTTCATTTCTTTCCTTGATTTTCTAGTGCAATAATCAACTGAAAAAAATTCACGGGACACACTCACAGTCATCAAAATTATTTTTGAAGTAATATATATATATATATATATATATATATATTTAAAGTGAAAAACTTAATTAACTATCCATCCAAATAAAAACGATAAAAGATATTTCTCATGTGACAAATTAAATAAATTATATTAAAGGATTTGAATGTACACACTTGTTCATAGAAATAGGCGCTTTACTAACAAGGTCATTGAATAATGCCCCTTCAAATCTTATTGTTTAATCATTCAAATTTTATTTTTATTTTTATTTTTATTTTTATTTTTATAACATTATTCAAATAAAATAATTGAAATAATTTGGTTGATTCAACATAATATTTGGCTTAAATATCCCATCTCAAAGGTTTTTTTCCTGTCAATTCTTTCTTCTTAATTTTTAATTTTTTTTACAGCTTGATGCTTGCAAGATACTATGAATTAGTGACGAGAGTTTAATGTAGGACCAAGAAATGGACAATGATGAAACATCAATAGTCTAAATAATGTAGGCCACTTGCTGTATTAATTCACCCAGCTACACATATAATAAATACACAAATGTATATGAAAGTAATGTATTAAAACTTAATTCCTTTATATTTTGTGAATTACTATTTTTTCCGATAGCCTAATAATTTATTTAATTATTGATTTTATGTGTCTAGCCCACATAATAAATTTATATGTTTATGATATTTTGAGAAATTATTATTATTATTATTATTATTATTTTTCCCAATTTGTTCAAAGAACCTCACCATGTGATACACTGACACCAATCATTATTATAATATATATATAAAATAAATACAAATTGTTCATGAATTTAAACTGGTCAAGTTAAGTATTGTTGAAGTCTTATTTATCAAATACTAATCTGATTCCAATAACGTGTTCGAATTGAATTGGTAAACGATAGATTCTCAACTAATCGAAATTGATATGAAAATTATATTTTAAGATTGTATATCATTCTCTCTCATGTCTCAGCTTTTTTAGCTCTCAAAAAGTTTTTCTCCTTTTATGGCCTTTCGATCTTTCTTTCTCCTGAAAATTTTGCGTTATAATCCATAATTTACATAAAAATCTTTCTTTATAGCTATTAGGTATCTCACTCACTTGCTCACATGCTCTTTCGAAACCCAACAAAGCCGGAAACTTCCTGTACCAAGACAACCTCTTACTGTTTCTCGTCATCACTTTCCCACGAAACAAACAACATTTCTAAGGTTAGTCCTAGTGTTTATATCACCCAATTTGATTCTATACACACCCAAAATACTAATTTTGTTTTTCAATTCAAACTTATAAACACAAACCAGTACTTTTCTGAAGTGTACTTTTTGATAGCTTGTAATTTGTTGTTTGTTTCTTAAATCTTGAAGAACTGATAGGGTTTAGTTATTGTTCGCTGTCATTTTCTCTTTACACTGAGGCTTAATGGTCGTGTAGATATAGTTCCTGTATCTATTGTTGTTGATGTTGTTGTTAAGCTGTGTGCGTGTGTGTTTTTTTTTTTTTTTTTCTATTTCGATTCAAGTTTGCGTGTAAAGCGCGAACGTATTCGAATTCAAATTTGGCCTCAGCAAACGTTCTACGCGTGGTTTTGACTAGTGGGTTTGTTGTTTGGTTGGTATATAGATAGAGTACAGCTTGAATATATATATTTATTTTTAATGGATTTTGTATTTCTTTTATGTGACACACATGTCCTGTTTTCACATTTTCAGCTCTACTCTTTGCCTTAGTCGCGAAGTTTGAGGTCAATTACTATTCTTGAAGAGTATTAGCCTAAGGGGTCTTCTGGGTTTGAGTTTGTTTTCAGCTATTCGGCTTGTTCGGTTATCACACTGAGTAAATTTGGATTTTAAGAACTGTTCTCGAAGGGTTTTGAAAATTTGGGGGTTATGATTGTCTTGAGTTTGTTTGCTTGGGCAGCTTTATTGTTGATGAATTCGTGAATTTGGACATTGAGAATTGCTACTGGGGTGATTTTGGAGTTATAACTCTGGTGGGTTTCTATTGCTTGAGACCCATCAGATGAAAATGAATAGCAATGGGATTGCAAACTCGCGGAAAGATTTAGAAAAGGGGGATAAAACTAGCCGGGAGGTGCAGAATGGTTCTGGTGAGACTGATGGTGTTGATGGATCAACAGAATTGGCAACGAAGTCTGTGGACAAACAATTTAATGCTGGTGTTTTTGAAGGGGCTGAGGGTCGGAGTACAAGTTCATTTGAATTGGAAATTAAATCTGCAGACCAACAGTTCAATGCTGGTTCTTCTCATGGGGCAGGCAATCAGGGGACAAGTTCATTGTCAATGGAAACTAAGTCTTTGGATGAGCTGTTGGATGTGGGTTCTACACATAGGGCAAGCTCTCAGAGGATAAATTCGTTGCGGCGTTCATCGGTTCTAGAGATTTCTCAATCGAAAGATTCGCCCGCCAGTCCTTCTCAAGCAAACTTTCGGAAGGGTTAGTGCTTGACAATTTTTGTAGATTCTTTTGTTGTCACTAGAACCAGAGGCCTAAACTTAGTTTGGCACTTGAAATAGTTACAAAAGTATTTTTTATGCATTAAATTCATCCTGAAAAATTTGCACTCCTAATGCTGTAGTAGAGTTGCCTCACTTAAAAGCACCGAAAAATTAAACTTGCTTAACTTTTTCATACAATACAGAGGAGTTTTGGACCTTGGTTAAAGATTCATATGTCAGAATGGATGTAGGATTCATTTACAGGGCTTTCAGTAAATCTTGTGGTGCCTATACCGGAATTTGTTGCTTTAACACTTGTTAATCAAAAAGGAAGCCGAAGTAGTTGAGTCACTTATCACAGCTGCCTTCATCCCCGTCCGAAGGCATTTATTAAAAGGGCAGGGCGGGGCGGGGACGGATTTTGTAGAGTACTTTCGTAATTGTATTACGAATCTAACGAAAATAAATAATGAAACAAATTTTTAACTATGTTAATAATTCTTTTTCTCTTATGCGGATAAAAACAAAATTCAACTTCTCAATTGGAACTTTAGACTTTATATTATTGTAGGAACATCAAAACAATAAATAAAAGTTCTCAAATAAGAATAATGCAAAATGATATATATATATATTTCTAATTTTTTGATAGATAAGAAAGTTTTCAAAAAAACGCTCAAAAGGGGAGCGCTTCCAAAGGGGATATTTAGTGATTGGAATAGAATAAACTAGGATTTGCTTAATATATATATATAATATTATTGAATATAAAACAAATTATAAGGACGGAATTGTAATTTATCACTATAAATGGGGTGGGTGGGGCGACCTTTCCCCATCCCCGCCCCATAACCATGCGGGATTTTAATCCTAATCCCCATCCCCACCCCCACCCCCACCCCCACCCCAAAACCATTTAACCATCCCCATAACAGTCTAAATGGGGCGAGGCGGGGCGGGGTATTTTGCCATCCCTACATGTGACTGCAAAACATAGATCATTCCAGTTTCATCATACATTCTCTGTTGTCTACTGCTATGCCTTCTTTTTTCACTTGCTTAGGTTATTTTAGGTGCATTTTATGCTGCCTAAATTTTGAAATCATTCAATCACTTTGAGCATTGAACCCCCTTTTATCTATCATGCATTCGATTCCATTGTACAAATCCCATATCCGCAAATAATATAAACTTGCTGGAATATCTAGTATTTTGAGTGGGGCCTCCCTCTTGGTAACGAATAGTTTTGTGTTAGGAAAACAAAAAAACTAGAGAAGCAAGTATAATGATGACAATAACTACGAAACAAAAATTTTTATATGACAGACAGTATCCATGAGCTATTCACGTAGAGAATTTTGTTGAAAAAAATAATTGCTGGAAGGAGTTTGGGTGGGAATGCATCCAGATATTAAAAAAGAAAAAGAAAAAAAAAAAAGAAGCACTATTGCTGTACTCCATAAAATCCATGAGCATTAATCTCTCCGAAAGACAACAGCTACCTCCGATTTGTTGCATAACAGTTATATTAATGCCACCTAGTACACCTTAAGTCTATAGGTTGTAAACCAATAGTTGGAGCATTTCATACACATCCTCTTCTTAATACGTCTGTAATACTCGTTCTTAAAAAGCTTTCCTATATGTAAGCTTGGTAGATATTCTGTTGCTTATAATGGTGTAGATATATATATAAGAAAATAAACCAGCATGCCCTATATTTCGGGCATATTCAATATAGTCATGTCTCACATTTGGGTTTGATACCTAAGTTTATCTGGTCTATTTCATGGTGCATGCAAAATGTGTTTCTCTGCCGTGAAAGTGCATGCAGTAAAGAAATGATGGGAATTTATTTATATTACTGCAGCATTTACTTGTTAATAATCTTTTGGTCCTGCAAGGACTTGGTAGGTAATCCTTGAAATACCACACCGGATGTGCACCCAGGTCTGAATATAAGGCATTGGAGAATTTATCAACAATTCATGTGATATCATCTATCGATGGCATTGTCTAATGCTAGGCAGTTAAATGGTTGTGATTATTGTGAACCTCAATATATTCTAATTATTCAAGCCAATCATATTCAGTTAAAGGAGGGAACTTTGCAACTTCAGTTTCAGTCTAATTTTGAATTTTCAGGAAGTGGACATATTATATCAAATTTAAGCAAGTTTATGTCAATGAGCAGGTGAGACTGTTATTCATCATACGGTCATTGGTATTAGTTGCACCTGCTAGATGGTGGGAATTATCAGAGATATTATAACAGGACATGATTATCTGCATTTTTCGTACAGGAATTTTTTGTTGAGAACTTTAAATGTAATTTGTGAACAATTGTTTCTTTTTTTAATAAAGAAGATCATTAGAATATTTGTAAGTATTTTTGAAACTTCCCTATTAACCTGCATAAGAGAGAAAAAGACAAAAAAAATGTTGGAAGCTTTACAGTTGTGTGAAGATTTTTTCTTTTAATACCTTGGCACTATATAGAGCCCTGGATTCACTCTTGATTTAGCTAGGAAAAAAAAAAAAAAAAACTCACCATTCCACCGAAGCAATGCAGTAGATTTTATACCAATCTCTGTTATTGTCTGTCGTCGTAATCATCATCATTTTGTAGCGTCTTTCTCATTTTATCTTATCAGGATCAACCATTTAACTGCCATGCAGCCTTCTACTGGCTGACAAAGAGCAGTTTTTTCGGTATAAAATTCTTCACTAGTTACTTATTTACAGTGTCATCGTGTTTTCATTTGTCTTAGAAGCTCAAAGATTGTTAATGAATTCAATTGTTAAGTAAAAGGTACACAACTTGCTTTCTGACTATAGTCTACATATGCCAGTATATGAACCATGTTGCCCATCTTGTTTTGAGGATGCGAATTTAGATCTGGACATTCAACTTGAGTTTTGCACGTGTCATCTTGAACTAGTGCTAGTTGGTTTATAGTTGTTTTCTTTTTTGGTGTAAAGTTGATTTGATATGTTTACTAATATCATCCATTTTTATTCTTGAAGGCTTGGATCATTGCATCACGGCTCCTGTGGGCACTCACAAAGATTCCTTGATTGAAAGCCTTGATCTTGGATTTTATAGGTCCATGACTGAGAAGAGGGAGAGTTCAAGACATGACCTAAAATTGGATAGACTAACAGAACGTGAAAAGGTGAATATCAGAATCACATGCATTTAAGCATGGGTTTGAACACTTCCACCTGCCTATGTGTTAGAACTCATCTTACTTTACAAAATAAAACATATACACATATGTAAATATAATTTGTGATGCACATGCATATCTGTCATTAGTTTATTTGTTTAGTTTCATGATTTGTTCAGCGATTTCTTCTTGGTGTATGTGTGTTGTCATATGCTCTCTGTGTTGATTGGTTTGTGGGGTTGACCTAATCTCAGTGGTATGAAAATCTACACCACTTCAATGTCTAGTGCCTACACAAGAATAATACCATGTAAACCGTAATTGACATTATTACTTAATGTAAAAGCTGAACCCCCATTTACTAGATTTTTAACTTTCTTGTTATTGTCTAACTGAAGATCAGCGAAGTGTTTTATATGATATGCTGCGTTGTGTAATTTTGTTCAAGCCTGTCTTTCTCTGACGCACTTTCTTAAGAAAGTTATCACTTAGGCTTATCTTTTTGTTCCCTTTCAGACATTCTGTGTACTTCATGTATTATACTTGTCACTGTCTCGCTCATAACTTTTTTATTTTTTATTTTTCCTTGTTTTGTTCTCAGAAACAACTCATTGTGAACCTAGTAAAGATCCAAAATGATGGGACAGTGGAGGTTGATCTAACGAAGGGTGCACCTGTAGCTTCCGAACTGTTAGAATTTCACTCCTTTGAAGGGACGCCTACTAATATCGATTATATTACCACTGAGTTCAACAAATCAATTCCAACTCTGAAAATTACAATGCTTATCGTTGGAACGAGAGGAGATGTTCAGCCTTTTTTGGCTATTGCAAAGAGACTTCAGGCATGTTTGCTATAAATCATTGGTTTACCTAAGTGCTTATTTACAATTATATTTTTACTCAATTGTCATAATTGTCTTCATCTTTCTTATCGTTCTTGGGTATTGTTTCACTTCAATATAATCATGTGAGGGCTTGATAACCAACTCCTAACAGTTTAAGCTTCGGGGCAAGTAGTTGTCTAACTTTGTGTCAGAGCTTCGATTCTGGTAGATGTTCTGTGTTACATGAACTCTCCTGTGCACATCAAGTTTACCATGTTGACATGACGCTACATACGCTGCACAGGAATGGGGATGAAATTGTGACACACGAACTGAAATCTGACACGTCGACCCTCTACATGTGAATATGTGATGATGGGAGGAGAAGAAAGAACTCAAATTTGCTAGTAGAGAACCATTTCCCATATCACACATTGGGAGTTAATGCAAATTATTCTCTTTCGTCAAATCCCAATTAATGTGAACTCTAACAGAGTATAATTTTAAAAAACAACAATATCATACTTTACAATATTATATGACATAAAATTTAATATACATGATTATATTATATAACATATATTTTAGATATACACGATTGTTTATCTTACCCAACCTTTCGACACATTTCAATATATCAAGTCCTTGTATTATGGGATTTTGGGTCCAGGTAGTTCCAACATTAGGCACACACTTGCAACGATTACACATATCAGAATCCATATAATAGTTTGGATTCAAGTCTATCTGTTTGCATTTGATCATCCATTCCACCTGTTTGTGTGCACTATGTTAGTGCAAGATGTAGTTTAATGCAAGAGGGTATGAGAACTTGATACATATTGTTTGACCCATATTTTAAAATAGCCTAAACTTTTGAGGCAAGTGGTTGTTCAACTAATCAATATATTGCTGCTGTGTATATGCTAGCGGAGCTATTATTTTGTTCCTAACCTTTATCTCATACTTCAAAAGGATGTGTACTCATTGTATTGTCATCTAATCGTCTCTGTGTATGAGCACAGTTATTTGTTGATGGTATAAAGTATTATTACTAGAAATTTCATACTCAGTATTTGTTTTTGAAGGATTAAGTACGTTCAATGTAATCTTCCTTTTGTTATTTGTGGCGAGTCATTGTTACCCAGGATTTTGGTGGGGGATTGTCTATGTAAAGAAATTTCATTAAGTTCCATGGGGCAATTAATGCCCTTAAGGGATTTCGTAGTATAAAATATTATTATTATTATTTTTTGATAAGTAAAATTTTATAGAAAGCGCTCAAAAGGGGAGCGCATCCCAAGAGAAGAACAAAGGGCTAGCAAGAGCCTCAAGCCTTCAAAGAGGCCAAAAAACGACAATCTCCTCTAAAGATCTATAATTTCTCCTTGAAACCCAACAAAAAAGAGTGGAAATAATTTAGAATTTAAGAAAAGAAATGGGCATCTCCTTCCCATCAAAACACAAAGAGGCGTAGCCCTCCAAGCATCCCAAATATGAGCCTCCACAAAACAGCCTCTTCAAGCCTCAATCAACCCTCCAACGGATCTAGGCATCACCCAGAGAATCCCAAAAAGACCAAACATCAAGTCCCAACATTCCTTGGCCATGGTGCAGTGTAAAAGAAGGTGATCCACTGTTTCCTCGTCTCGAAGGCACATAACCACCACCTGATTTCTCCTTTTCAAGTTGTCCTGGGTTAAAATCTTTCCCAAAACCGAGGTCCAAGCAAAGAAGGCCACCTTGAGAGGAGCCTTTGAGCGCCAAACAGACTTCCAAGGAAAAGGACCTCCAGGCTCCTCCGTGAGGCACCTGAAAAGGGACCGAACCTCGAAACGACCCTTAGAGTTGGAAGCCCAAATCCAACAATCAGAATCTCCAACCCTAATCCCCTGGCGATACAACAACTCCAAAAAACGAATGGCATCCTCCATCTCCCAGTCCTGAAAATGTCGCCTGAATCGAACATCCCAAAATAGGCTCCCGCTATCAAGATGATAACAGTTGACTACAATGGCCTGTCCATCCGAAGCAATCCTGAAGAGACGAGGAAAAGCAATAGCCAGAGGAAGGTCCCCACACCAGACATCCTCCCAAAAACTGATCCTCTTACCATCCCTGAGGCGAAAGTGAACATGTTTGGAGAAATCAGCCCACCCTTTCTGAATGGACTTCCAAACCCCCACTCCCCTTGGACCGCGAACCTTTATAGAGCTCCACCCACCTCTACTCTCCCCAAATCTACTAGCAACAACCCTCCTCCAAAGCCAATGCCTCTCCACCCCAAATCTCCACAACCATTTTCAAAGAAGAGCTTTATTGAAAGGCACCAATTTTCTAAACCCCAAACCTCCACTCCGAATCATCCTGCACACTTGCTCCCACCGAACCAGATGAAACTTGAATTCCTCTCCTTCCCTGCCCTCCCCCACCCCAAATAGAAAGTTACGCTGCAACCTCACAAGTCTCTCAGCCAAAGAAGAGGGAATCTGGAAAAGAGAGATAAAATAAGTGGGAAGAGAAGACAGGGTGCTCTTAATCAGCGTAACCCGGCCACCCTTGGAAAGATACTGTTTCTTTCAATCTGCCAGTCTCCTCTCAAACCTCTCCACAACAGGGTCCCAAACGCCCACATACCTAGAAGGAACACCCAGGGGCAACCCTAAATAAGAGATAAGGAAAGAGGCAGTACGGCAACCAAGAATATCAACAAACATCGCAATCTCAGGGACCTCCCCAACCGGCACCAAGACGCTCTTCCCAACATTCACCTTAAGGCCGGAGACAACTTGGAACCAGATCAAAACTCATCTCAGATATCAAAGCTGGGACACACTCGCATCACAAAGAACCAGAGTATCATCTGCAATCATCAGGTGGGAAATCTCCAACTGAGAAGCAGCATCCCTGCCCACTCGGAAACCTCTCAGAAAACCTAACTCCACGACCCTTCTCATCAATCTACTAAGGGCCTCCATCACAAAAAGAAACAGAAAAGGGGAAAGCGGATCACCCTGCCTCAAACTCCTCGAGCTAGAGAAAAAACCGGTCGGATCACCATTAGTAAGAATCGAGAAACGAGCACTGGAAATATAGAAATGAATCCAATTCCTCCAACGAACACCAAATCCCATCCTCTCCATCAAGTAGATAAGGAAGCTACAATTCATATGATTGTAAGCCTTCTCAATGTCCAACTTACATAAAACTCCCGGGACCCCGCTGCTCAATCTGGAATCCACACACTCACTAGCAATAAGAACTGAATCCAGAATTTGACTGCCTCCCACAAAAGCATTCTGAGCATTAGAAATGACACCATCCAAAACCTTCCTTAACCTAGAAGCAAGGATCTTGGCAATCAACTTGTAAATGCACCCTACCGGGCTAATAGGGTGAAAATCCCTAACGTCCAGCGCCCCCCCTTATGATTGTGCGCAGCCTTTGGGGTGGGAGATTTGTGGAGTGGCTTGCTTAGGATGCTATCTGTTCTTCGGGTGGCATCCTTCTTATGTGGGATAACAGATGGGTGTCTTTGGAAATTGGAGGACTCTCAGGTGGGGAGATTCTTTGTTTTTTGTGTGCTCTCTTTGGTGGAGGAGTGCTTCCGTTGGGTTTTTTTTGGTGTTTATGGGCCTACGGAGGACAGTGTGCGCCATTTGCTCTGGGAGGGCTGGGGGTTATTAGAAAGAGGTGGTCGCTTCCGTGGTGTGTTGGAGGGGATTTCAATGTTGTTCGCTCTCCTTTTGAGAGATCGACGGGGGGTAGGTGGACGTCAGATATGGAGTCCTTCTCGGAATTTATTGATGATTTTGGGTTGATTGATCTACCTTTGGAGGGTGGCCCATTTACGTGGTCTAGTGGTCGCTCTCCCCCTACTCTTTCTTGGCTTGACAGATTCCTTGTGTCCGGGGATTGGGAGGAGGAGTTTTCTGATGTGATCTAGGCTACTTTGGCCCGTCCTATCTCTGACCATATTCCGTTGATGTTGGATTGTGGTGGTTTGCGTAGTAGACGCTCTCCTTTCAGATTCGAGAATATGTGGCTTTGAGCTGAGGGCTTTCTCGAGAGGGTCCGTATTTGGTGGGGGGGTTATGGGGTGGTTGGCTCTCCAAGTCACTCTCTTGCAAGTAAACTGCGGCTTTTAAAGCTATCAAGATATGGAACAAGGAGGACTTTGGGAATCTTGAGTGGAGAAAGAATCGGGTTTTTTTTGTTCTAAGATTGCTGCTATTGACCGGATGGAGGGTCAAGGGGTTCTGGTGGATTCCTTGAAGGCTAGAAGGGTGGAGTGTCAGGCAGAGTTTGCTGAGGTCGCTATCATGGAGGAGATTTCGTGGAGGCAAAAATCTTGAGCTTTGTGGCTTAAGGAGGGTGACAGTAACACGAAGTTTTTTCATAGATTGGCCAACGCTCATAGAAGGGGCAATCATATTGGAAGGATTCGGGTTGATGGGGAGTTGTTATGTAAGGAGGAGGAGGTTTGTAAGGGCATTGCTGAGTTCTATGCGAAGTTGTTCACAGAATCTGCTAGATGGAGGCCCTTGCCTGAAGGGCTTCAGTTTGACTCTATTTCTAGTGAGGAGTGCTCTGGTTTGGAGGAGTATAAAATATTATTACTAGAATTTTCATACTCAGAAAGAATTTGTTTTTGAAGGATTAAGTAGTTCAACAGAATCTTCCTTTTGTTATTTGTGGCGAGTTTTTGTTACCCAGGATTTTGGTGGAGGATTCTCCATGTAAAGAAATTTCATAAAGTTCCACGGGTCTATTAATGCCCTTAAGGCCCAAATCCCTTTAGTCAGTGCTTCAGCCTGCACAGCTCTTTCAAGCACTATTCTCATGCCTCAAGACTTGGCTTACGTGCACCTTTGTTGGTAGTGACTTGCGGGTTTTCGCCGTAAGGAATTTTTTAAAGTAAATTATTCAATATGTTCAAAGTTTTTATTTCCTCTAAAGGTATTAAAAGTCCTTAGCCAGTTGTTCTCAGGACTGCCCTAATGGTATTTTAAGGGATTGAACGACGGTGATCTACAGCTTACATTTTTGGCCTCTTAAAACAAATTGCTAGGGCCTGATTTGTTGTTGTTTTCCAAGTTTAATCTAGTTGTTCTTCTGGTTTAATCACTGAAACTTCTATAATTGGATTGATAGTTTGTCAAAATTGGTTTGTTCAATTACAAGTCAAAGAAACAAAATTTCTGCCTTTCGTTTAGACAGTTAAAAATTCAACTCAGCAAAATATCCATTTTTTTTAATTTATTTATCATGCTGCTCCTGTTCAGACCGAAAAAAATCCAAAATTTGGGCAGAGTAAGAAACGATAAAAATTGCGCTTGACAACCAAGGGCTTAGCCCCTGTAAAGCGACCTTGGGATGTAATTCCTTGAAAGAATGTTTTAGCACCCTCTGAAGGCCTAGAGGAGTCTTAACTAATATATATGGCAAAGAGAGTACTTGTACTTTTCAGATTGAAAGCAGGTTGGGCAGAAAGAATGAAATTTAAAGTTAATGGTCTAATAGTAATTGAGATTTAATATTCTTGGACCCTTTTCTCATTCAGTTCTTCATTGATTTATTTATTTATTATTTTTTGGAAAGCTTCATGATATTTACTTTTTTTCTTTCTTTTTAGAAGTAAAGCTGTGGTGGTGTTGTAAGAATTAAGAATTGAAGCAATTATGAAAAATAATTTCAGGACTCAAAATCACGTGATTTTTCTTCAATTTAGTCATTCAAAGATGAAGAATATACATTCAAATGATTTTCTTTGCCTGACAAGAATGCTGAAGATTTTCGTTTTTCAATTCTGAAACAATTCTTAAATGCCTTTAACTCTTCACCTCTATGACTCAAGAAACAAAGGATTGATCTTCTAGTTGGTGGGAACTAGATCTTGAGACCACTCACAAACTTCTCTCTAAAGTGCTTGAGACTCTAATGAGCTTGAGAGAATGATAGGCCAGATAAATTCTATTCAATCTCTATACATATTATGTATATATAGAATGCTATATGGGCTAGAGGTGGGGATCAGTAGAGATTCCTAATCCTATCTCCCATTGGACTTGGAATTTTTAAGTTAATTCTAACTCATTCCTAATCCAATTCATTATAGAAATAACCATTATCTTTCTGTAATTGCATTTCTGGATTAAGGAAACACCAAATGTTTGCAAATAGGCTCCTCCAATATCCAATATTCATAAGTAGCCCATGGGGCATTAAATGTGACACCCATGGTATACTTATATAATTGAGCACCCGTGAAAGGCAGTGTGGCGCACCAAAGCTCCAATGAAGGTGGCTTTATTTTGCTGGATGGTAGTTCTGTATATAACCTGAAAAGGAGTAGGAGGCAGGCTATTGTGAATTGGTGCTACATGTGCAAAAGGGATGAGGAATCAGTGAATCATCTCCTTCTGACTGTCTTGTGGTTTGGGATTGCTAGGCCTTGCCTCTAGGTGTGTTTGGTATTTAGTGGGTTATGCCTTTTTCCATGTTGTCCTTGTTCGTGGCTTGGTGTGGTCGTACAGTAGTGGGCCAAGTTTGAGATGCTTGGAGGGCAGTTCCTCTTTGCCTTTGGTGGGGCTTGTAGAGAGAGAAATAAGAGGTCTTTCGATGGCGAGGAGACTCCTATTGGGGCTCTTGAGTTCTCTAATTTCGTTATTTTTTTGGGTTTTGGGAAGGAATTGTATCTCTCTTGCGGAGTTTATGGATTTTGTGGATATGTTGAGAGATTAGGGACCCCATTCGGCCCTTGTGTAGTTGTTTGGGTTGCGCTCCCTGTTTGAGTGCTTTTCAATGATACTTTACTAATAAAAATAATAATAAATGAATAAAAAAGTCAACTCCAATTTCTCTTTTCACTCTGAATATTTGAGCCTAAATAGCCCAAATGTTGACTTGTTGGTATCTCTTGATCCTCAATCTTCAATACATTCCTATTTGTATTTTTAGATTTACCAAAGTTGCACCATATTTTCAATATTGTTCCTACTCAAGCAAATCCTTTAACTTGTAAAGTTCCCCTCCGAACCTTCAATTTAGCACTTACCCCCTCTCTAGTTTCGTCAATTAAAATAATATCATCAGCAACCAACATAAATCAGGGAATCTCATTCTGATTGTGTCTAGTTCATCCATAACAATGCAAAAGATATAGACTTAATACTGAACCTTGATGTAAGCCTACGGTAATTGAAAATTTATTTGTTTCTCCCACTGTCATTCTAATTATGGTCATACTTCCATCACACATATCTTTTATCATGTCAATATATTCTTTTGTGATTCATTTTCTTTCTGAAACCCTCCACAATAGTTCTCTAGATACCCTATCATACGCTTTCACTAAATTAACAAAAACCATATGAAGGTCTTTCTTCTTTTCTCTGTATCTTTCCATTAGTCTCATCAATGAGTAAATGTCCTATATTATTGACCTCCCTAACATAAATCCAATTTAATTTTCCAATGCTTCACTTTCCTGCTTAGTCTTTGTTCAATCACTCTATGAAAGCTTCATGGTATGACTTATTAATTTAATACCACAATAGTTGGTACAAATAATTTCAATCTTAGGATTACTGAACAAAAATTCTTTTCATAACAGACTTTTTCAAAACAAATAATTTTATTCAAAATCCATTTTAGCTATAAAAACTCGTATGTGGCTGCTAGTTTAGTAATTAACTCAATCAAATCAACTCAAGAGGATATTTAACTCTCATAGAGAGTGTCGAATTCCGTCTCAAGTTTTTGTTCCCATATGTCCAATGCTAATTACCTAAAATACAGTGGTATTGACCCAACATAAGTCTCAGATGTTGTTAAACCAAGGCAATTAATACTGAAAACTGAGTCCGTTGAACCTTTCAGGATTAAGAGCTTATTGCATTTAGTATAAGAGAGCACATCAGAATAAGTGACAGTAATTTGATATGTTGTTACTATCAATTCCGCTAAGTGTATTTCAAATACACCAACAAATTGACCAAGGATTATCCACTTTGATAATTGAGATAAATCACCCTTGCAAGACAACAATCTGTCTTTTAGAAGTGACGTGTATTACAATTTTGGAGACGAAATAAACCGATGGACTAAGTTCTATCTATATATGAACTATTTATAATGTAACTTGGGAACTTGCACACTTATAATGTATATACTGTATGTATTGAATTATGTTTTAAATTAATAAATAAAAAGAAATCCGTAAAAAAAAATAATAGTCACATGTCAAATGTCTAAATTGAATTGGTTTTTAGGGCAATATGTATCAATTTAACGTCTTGTCTTTTACTTTTTACACAGGCTCCCAATCACACTTTCTTAGTTTAAATCCCAGATCTTTGTGTTACATTTCAATATTGTAAATTATTGTGATGATAGGGAGTTGATACATTGTTATGCATGGATGCATCTTAGGCTTAGTTATTCAACTGTTAATCTTGTATTGATATTTTCTGCACTTGCTTTTTGTTGAATTCAAGGCTCATGGAAAGATTGGTAGGTTTTGAATTACAATAGACAGCTTTGTCGTTAATCTGAAATTTTGATAAAATAGTTATTGTTATTATACATTGCAGGTTAAGATTAGGTCCTTATGTCAATATTGTATGCCACCTGCTCCTATTTTATGGGAGAGACAGACCATTGTATTCACTTCTTAGCATTTTTCTTATTTTCTTTTTAAATTTCTCTTTCCTATTTAGTTGCGAAAACTGATTTTTGCATTTGCAGGAGTTTGGTCATCATGTTAGATTGGCAACTCATGCTAACTTCCGTACTTTTGTAAAGGCAGCTGGTATAGATTTTTACCCTTTGGGCGGTGACCCTCGAGTTTTGGCAGGATGTAAGAGGTCCTTGACATGCAAATTCTTTTATGTTTTTGTTTGTACATAATTCAATCATTCAGTAACTTTGTCAATAGATTGCTTTCTGTATCCATCCTTGTTCGTTTACCTGGATCTACTAAAAATCTTCTGTGGACCTTAAACACCTGTGGCATAATTCATTTTGTGACAATATATAGTGTGCTTATCATCTATTTGATGCCTTGCTCCATTTTGTAATGGTGTGGGAACTGTAGTATGTAGGGAAGCTGAAGTTTTATCTGACCAGATTTCATCTCGATACTTTACCATTGCATGTATCCGGTATCCCAGAATTTTGAGATTTATATCTCTCGAGACTCCAGTTATTCAATACTCAACCTGTTTTTAGAACATGTGGAATATGTTTGTTTTTCTCAAGCTTTTTCAACATTATTGAAGTGCAACCTGTTTTAAGAACTCCTGGAATATGTTTGTTTTTCTCAAGCGTTTTCAAGATTACTGAAGTGCCTTTTTTTCCCCCTGATATTTTAGATATGGCCAGAAATAAAGGTTTCATTCCATCATCACCAGGAGAAATATCTATACAAAGAAAGCAACTAAAGGCCATTATTGAATCTCTTCTTCCAGCATGCACAGAAGCAGATATGGAAACTGGAGAGCCTTTTAGAACTCAGGCCATTATTGCAAACCCTCCTGCTTATGGTGAGTTAATACCACTCCCCCACAAGCCAAAAAAAGTTTGTTTCCTTCAATTTTTTCACAGCAGTTAACCGTAGATTAACTTATATTATTGAAGTTTTGATTGTAGATCCTATTGCAGTTGGATTGCTTCCAAGTATTAGACTGAACAATTAATCACCTCCTAATAAGAGTTCTAGATAATATTAGAGAAACTTAATTAGGAGATAATTGCAAGGTTGATCATGGGTTTTGGCTAAATTTTTTTGTTTGAATAAATGAAAAATTTCCTCTTGGAAGAGCACAGAATAATAATCAAATGTAGTCACAGAATGTATTTTAAACTTATTTTAGTTTCTTACTTACCAAAAGTAGGGTTTAGCATCTCTAGAAGTAAAATTGAGAAGGTTTGGAATGGAGAGCAAGTTTCAAGCTGCAGGATATAGCTTTCTGAAACCAAAGTGAAAATAAATTGCCTTTTGTCCATAGCTTCTGTTGCTTTTTTGTTGTCCAGTTTCTTAATAGCGATTTGTAAGATGATATCATGATTGGTGTTTCTATGCGTGCAATTATGAAGAAGAAAACCAAAATTGCTAGAATGGAAGTTAATGCCATAGAAAAAAATAGTAACAACAGTTGACAATTTGCGCCTCCATTTGTCAAGAATTCTGGTAATAGAGTCCCTTTAGCAATGCTGTTCATGCAATTTTAAACAACCTAGGTGGTGATATTCGAAATGGGACCTGCTTACTAGCCATTAATGAACCTTATTAACTGTTGGTGTATAATATTTTCATTTAGAATATTGTTCTCTGAGTATAAACTTCAAAATTTTAAAATGTTCTTCTTGCTTGCAGGACATGCACATGTTGCTGAAGCTCTGGGTGTGCCCCTTCACATCTTCTTCACAATGCCTTGGACGTGAGTCTTAATTAAAATTTTCCATGCATGTTAACTGAACTCTTTATTTGTGTAATAAACCGGATTATGAATTTTTACTATTTTTCACTTGATTTTTTTAAAAGAAAATATGACCTTTCTATGTTATGGTTCGGATGTCATTTGCACTTTTTAAATAAAAATTTACCATATTATTACTTTCTAAATTGCTTTGTGCTTGATATGCAATGCACACTTGGTTAACTAGGGAAACTTTTGTTCCATATTCTTTTTAAATATATAAAAAACATGATGTAGAAGAGGAAAGAAAGAAGAAAAGAAGAGAAAAAAGAAAGAAGCAGCAGAAAGAGAGAAAAGGAGAAGAGAAGACGAGAAAAATGGAGATTGAGGACTCTTCTCCAAAAGGTCTAATCATGCAATTTGAACCTGGTTTTGCTCCCAATTGTAAATCAAAGTGGGAGTGAAAAAGCATGCCTCATATTGAAATGCTTTTGCCTTTTGACCACACTTTTATAAGATGTCTTGGGTACACCTGTTTGTACATTTTGGCCAAAAAGTTTACTTAAAAAAGAAAAAAAAAAAAAAATGAAAAAAAAAAAAATGAAAAGAAAAGAAAAGAAAAGAAAAGAAAATCATTCTTCAGGGAAACTCACTCCACCCCACACCATACCCACAACTCCCGAAAAAGGAAAAATTATTCTTGCATGCACATGCACACCCTCCAGAATATTTTTTTTTTCTTTTGATAAGTAAGATTTTATTAAAAACGCTCAAAAAGGGGAGCGAAGCCCAAAGAAACAAAAGGAACAAAAGGGCCAAAGGGCGCCTTAGACCTTCAGAGAGGCCAAGAAAACAATAATTTCCTCCGTAGATCTATAATCTCTCTTTGAAACCCAACAAAAAAGAGTAGAAATAACAGAGAACTTAAGCATAGAAACAGGCTTCTTTTTTCCGTCAAAATATCTCCTATTTCTTTCAAGCCAAATGCACCACCAGATACAAAGTGGCGTAGCCCTCCAAGCATCCCTAATGCCAGCCCCAACAGAGACGCCTCTCCAAGCCTCAATCAGTCCTCTAGAGGAGTAAGGCATGGCCCAATGCACCCCAAATAAACGAAGCATCAAATCCCAACAATCTCTGGTCATGTTGCAATGTAAAAGGAGGTGATCAACAGACTCCTCATTACACAAACACATGTAACAGTGATTGACCACCACCTGATTCAATGTTCCCCAGATGCATTTATTGGCATTTTAGCGAACATGAATGTATTTACTGCACAGAAACATTGTATGCTCATATGTCATAGAGTTTGAAGCAATGTTTTGTCAATCTAATGGTTAAGATAATTTGTAGATTTTCTTTTTTTAAGATATGCCTCTTACATCCATTTTCAATAGGCAGGCCGACATATGAATTTCCTCACCCATTGGCACGCGTACCTCAAAGTGCTGGTTATTGGGTATGTTCCTGGTTGTTTGCTGATTTGATCTGTATTTCAGTTTTCAATTAATGACTTTTGAATGAAATCTCGTCAACAAATTTGTTCCATGATCTTTCCTTTCTGGATCTAGCTTTCTTATATAGTGGTGGATTTGCTGATATGGTGGGGCATAAGAAGCTATATCAATGACTTCAGAAAGAGGAAGTTGAAGCTTGCTCCTATTGCATACTTCAGTACATATAATGGATCGATATCTCATTTGCCAACAGGATATATGTGGAGTCCTCATGTTGTGCCAAAGCCGAGTGGTAAGAATGATCTTGTTCATATTGGAGCACAAATTATTCATGTATTGGGTATGGGATTTAGATTTAAATCCATTTCATTTTTCCTTTCTTCCATAATCCTTGAATATCGTATAATGTCATTTAATTCTTTTGTAGTACAGATGCATTATTTTTGAATTTATCTTTTTTTTGCAACAGTATGCACAAATGCGTATTGGTGGTTGTGGAAGGACGAAATACAACAAATACTACAATAAAAAGGAAAAAAGTTTTAAAGAATGGCAAAAAGTAAGCAACAAGAGGAATTAGAGAAATATAAAAGATTAAAAATGAAGCTAAGAAGATAGTGAGTAAAGCTAAACAAATGCATTAAATGATTTATAGGCAAAACTAGGCACATAGTGAAAAAGGTAATTTTAAATTGGCAAAGAGTAGAGATAAATCAACTAGAGACATGGATTAAATTAGTCGTGTTAAGGATGTAGACCGTTGAATACTAATGAAGGATGAAAACATATTTGCTAGATGGAAAAATTACTCTCAACACCTTTTTAATGAGGAATACCCTAGAGGAGAAGTGCAAAGGAATGAATTTAATATAGGAATGGTAAATAAAATCAACAATAAGAAACTAGAAGACACACTTAAAAGGATGGAAAATAATAAAACGGTTGGACCGGGTAAGATACCTATAGAAGCATGGAGAACTTTAGGAAAACTAGGAAATGAATGGCAACCAATTTTTTTTTAACAAAATCCTAAAAGAGTGAATGATGCCAAATGAGTGGAGGAAAAACACAATAGTACCTGTTTACAAAAACAAGGGGGATGTACAAAATTGCAACAATTATCGAGGAGTTATATTAATGAGTCATGCAATGAAACTGTGGGAAAGGGTGATAGAGCAAAGACTAAAGAAGGAATCCAACGTGTTTTATAACCAATTTGGATTTATGCCAGGGAGATCCACAATGGAGGCTATTTACTTAATAAGACAGTTAGTTGAAGGGTATGAGTAAGCAAAAAGATCTATATATGGTCTTTATAGACTTTAAAAAGTGTATGATAAGGTGCTGACTGCTGAGAGATATAATTTGGTGAGATTTTCAAAGAAACAAATCCCTGAAGAACTGATAAAGATTATTCATGCCAGATACAAAAAGTAGAATTCACGTTACATGTGGTGAGACTAGTGATTTTTCTATAAACTTAGGATTGCACCATGGATCTGCATCAGGTCCATGTTTATTCACAATAATATTAGATTAAATCACAAAAGACATACAAAAAGACATTACATGGTGCATGTTATTTGCCAATGACATAGTGCTATTGGACACTTCTAAAGAAAATTTAGCAATAAAATTAGAGAGGTGGAGGAACACATTAGAATCAGAAGGTTTAAAAATTAGTAGTGTAAAACTGAATATTTAGAATGTAAATTTAGTAAAGTAAGAGTAAAAATGAATATTTAGAATATAAATTTGGATAGTATAATGATCACGCTTCAAAACCAAAAAGTTATATATCCAAAGTAACCATTTTTGATACTTGGGGTTAACAATACAAAAGGATGTTGAGATTGTAGTGATTTAATTAGTAGAATTGGAGCAGGTTGGTCAAAATGGAGACAGACTACTGGGACTTTATGCAATAAAAGAGTAACAAATAAATTTATTTTTTTATTTTTTTTATCAAACAGTTATTAGACCAACTATTTTATATGGTTCAGAGTACTGGAGTTTAAAAAAGAAATAGGAACAATAAATTCATGTAGCGAAAATGATGATGTAAAGGTGGATGATGGGGTGACTAGAAAAGACAAGGTTACTAATCAAAATGCGGGAGATCGTATTGCGTGTTCAGAGTGCTGTGCATTGCATGTTACTACTTAGGTTGAAGTTAAGTGGATGTGGACATGCCCCACATGATATGATATAAAGAAATAATATAATACAGCTAAAGGTAACTAGTAAAATTTAAAATAATATGAATCAAAAATAAAGAAAAAACCTAAATAAATTAAATTATTGAACTACATCACACTAGCATCCTAACTGGGATTTCACCCTGAATATCTTTCCCAAGGGCTGCAGTTGGTTTTACTCATCCCAACATTTGGTGATCACATAATGAAGAGCTAATCCATATCTCTTCGTGAATGTTTCTGTCCTCTTCACAAAATACATATCATCTACCTTGATTCCAATCAATTTTTTTGGCCAAGTCACGTCAATTGATATATGTGTATTCACGTAAATATATCTATATATATATATATTTGTTAGTTTACTTAATTTTTCCCAAAAAATAGTTAATCACTATAGACGTTTAATTTATCATTTACGGTATTAGTTTATGATGAGTTGCTATAGATGTGTGTGCAGTGTTTCCTTGGAACGGTGATTCCACATCTAAATTTCTGAATGGATAGTCTAATAAACTTCTTCCATATCCTATTGATATTATTTTTTCTCGTGAGGGACATCAGAATGAAGAGTTCAATGAATGTCATCAGTATCACGTCTTCAATAATCCCTTGAGAAGGACATTATTAATTTCACTGGATTCCATATTTTAGTCCATTATTCTTACCTTCGCAAGCTTGTACAATTATTTTGTGCACAGTACAATTATTATATTTGATTTTTATATACAATGTCTTTTACTGTATGCATGCTGTTTTTCTTGGATGCAGAACACAGATATTATAATTCACACATCACAAACTTCTTAAAAGCATCAATTTCATTTGACTAATGCATGCAGATTGGGGCCCCTTGGTCGATGTTGTTGGTTATTGTTTCCTAAACCTTGGGTCAAAGTATCAACCTCGTGAAGAGTTTGTTCAATGGATTCAAAAAGGACCCAAACCTATATATATTGGGTTTGGGAGCATGGTATGTTGACTCACTAGAATATTTACTAGAAGTAGGCTTAACTTTTATAAGAGTAATTTTTCTGTTGGCTTGTATGATGATTATTTTATCCTGCTATGATGTTTGAGTGATACGGTTACAGTCACCTGAATACTTGATATGTTTTTAGTTTGAACATATTAGCAGATTTATTCTTTAATTAGATTATTTTAACCTCAAAGTATTTCGTCATTTGATCTTTCTTGCTCGTCAGTTGAACCTATTGCGACATTTTTATGATTGTCAATGCATCAATTCTATTAAAATTTGGCCCAAGGCATAAAGGCTGTTAATCAGTGTCTCCAATTAATAAAGGGTATCTAGAGAGGTGGATTGATGCAGACCTAACTTTTGCATTATGTCCACAAAGTGACTGACCTCATAGTTGAACCCATGATTTCAAGCTAAGAACTTCTGATAGTTCTGGCATTGTATTGTTAATGTTTGATAAATAGAAACTTCAGATTTAACAAAGATGGGATGGGCTATCTATATATATATATATAGTTTATCGATGTGTTGGTGACTGTAGTTCTTTAGGTGTTACTTTGGCTGATTTTCTGGGCTTTTCTGTAGAATAGTCTAATGCCATCTGAATCACTTTTAATTGGCATGTCCAAAATTTCTAAGCCGGACATTTATTTCACAATGCAGTGGTGGTTCTCTCAGCCAAATGACTGAAAGTAGGAGTTCTTGAATTATATTTTGTTGGCTTTGTTGATTTTTTAATCATTAATGATAATTTAATGTGAAGCAAAAAACAACACAACTAGTAATACAGATCTGAAGTTAAATTAAAAAAATCTGCCATTTGGAATAATATTGGTATTGATGTTGCCCATTCAGTAGCCCAATGAGCAGAAAGATATGAAATTCAATGGTCTGAAGGAGTCTTGCAGCTACTGGAATCAGCCAATAGCTTGAGTCCTGTGCTAAGTGAACTTTTTGAATAGGTCGGCCGAGGTGTTTGTTGTAAATAAGAGCAAGAAAATAGAAGAGAAGAATCTCTTAGATGTGAGTACATGTGGGTTTATATAGGAATCCAAGACATACAATTAGTACATTAATTTAGCCAATTACCAGAAATTAAGCTAATCAAAATCCTATAATCAAGCTAGCAGATTTTATGCATCAGAATATTCCTATAATCAAGCTAGCAGATTACATGTAGCAGAATAGTCAACTTTCCTAATTAATTACAAGCTGTAAACAACCTATATTCACAACACTCCCCATCAAGCTGGAGAGTAGATATCAACAACTCCCAGCTTGCTGCAAATGGAGTCGAATGCATTCTTTGGAAGAGCTTTAGTGAAGATGTCAGCTAGCTGATTGCAAGAGGGCACAAAAGGAGTCACAATCTCATTTGAAGCCACCTTAGAACGAATGAAATGACAATCCACTTCAATGTGTTTTGTCCGTTCATGAAAAACTGGATTGCTAGCAATATGAATGGCAGCCTGGTTATCACAGTAGAGAGGAGTTGGATCTTGCATTGAGATTCCGAACTATTGTAGAAGGCTTCTCAACCAAGTTAGCTCACAAGTTATGTGAGCCATTGCACGGTATTCAGCCTCAGGACTAGATCGAGCAACAACTGATTGCTTCTTACTTTTCCAAGTCACAAGATTACCCCCAATAAAAGTAAAATAACCCGTAGTTGATCTTCTATTTGAGGGAGAGCCTACCCAGTCTGCATCAGTATACCCTTTAATGCAAAGATGTCTTGAAGATTGGTAAAGAAGACCATGGCCTGGAGTACCTTTGAGGTACTTTAGAATGTGCACAACTGCATTCATGTGAGGGACCCGTGGGTTGGTCATGAATTGACTCACCACACTGACTGCATATGAAATATCTGGTCGAGTGATAGTCAGGTAAATCAGCTTACCTACTTACTAGTCTTCTGTACATCTCAGGATCATCAACTAAGTTACCAACATCAGACATCAATTTCTGATTAGCCTCCATAGGTGTAGCAACAAGTTTAGCTCCAAGATGACTTGTATCTCTCAAAATATTAAGAACATATTTTCGTTGAGACAAATAAATGCCTTCTTTGATCTCGCAACCTCAATACCAAGAAAATAATGAAGCTTGCCCACATCTTTAGTAAGAAAGTTTGAACCAAGATGACCTATCAAAGTCTGAATGCCCTTATTGTCACTCCCAGTAATCACAATGTTATCCACATAGACGACTAATATCACAATACCATGCTTTGTCTTAAATAACACCGAGTGATCAATTCCATGGGTAACCACAACTTTGCTGAATTTGTCAAACCATGCTCGAGGAGACTGTTTGAGTCCACAAATAGATTTCTAGAGATGACAAACACACTCCCCCTTGGATTCAAACCTAGGTGGTTTAGCCACGTACATCGTCTCACTCAAATCTCCATGCACGAAGGCATTCTTAACATCAAGTTGATGAAGGGGCCAATCAAGATTTGCAGCAAGAGAGATAATAATACGAACTGAGTTTAGCTTGACCACAGGAGAAAAAGTTTTAGTGTAGTCAAGACCATAGGTTTGAGTAACGCCCTTAGCAACATGACGAGCCTTTAACATGTCAACAATACCATTTGGATTTTGCTTCACTGTGAAAATCCATCGGCAACCAACAATGTGTGCACCTGCAGGCTTAGGAACAAGTGTCCAAGTATTATTCAAGTGCAAAGCATGCATTTCATCCTCCATTGCTTTTTGCCAACCAGGATGGGAAAGGGCTCCTTATATGTCTTAGGAATAGAGACAGGAGATAAGGATATTGTGAAAGCCTTAAATGAAGGAGATAAATGATCGATACAAAATTAGAGATAGGGTGCTTAATACAAGACCTTTTACCTTTGCGAATGGCAATGGGAATGTCGGGACTAGATGGGGGAGTAGGATCCGCAGACGCCGAGGAGAGCAATTGAGGATGGTGTTGTAATTGGTTCAAATGGGCAATGAGCAGACCGCGGACGTTTACGAACATAGACCTTAGGATATGAAGGGATGAAAAGAACAAGTAGGGGCCAAACAAACTCTTGGAGTATAGGCTCTTGCAGTTGACAACCCTACGTAGAGTAATAGGGAACATTTTCAAAGAAAGTCAGATCAGCACATATAAAATGTTTCTTAATGTAGGACTATAGCATCGGTACCCTTTTTTAGTATGGGAATAACCAAGGAATATACATTTGTGTGCACGAGGGTCAAGTTTATCACGTTTAGGATTTAAATTATGGACAAAGCAAATACATCCAAATACCTTTGGAGGGAGACAGAAAGGATCTTTATCAGGGAAGAACATTTGAAAAGGTGATTTCTCTTTAAGAACACTAGATGGCATTCTATTTAAAAGGTATACATCTATGAGAACAGCATGCCCCCAAAAGTGTTTAGGCACTTTCATTTGAAGCATGAGTGCATGGGCAACATCAAGGATTGGACCATTCTTTCGTTCAGCAACTCCATTTTGTTGAGGTGTATCAACACATGAGGTTTGATGAGTAATACCCCTCGACTCAAAGAAGTGTTGAAAGCTATGAACTTTATACTCGAGCATTATCAGTACGAAGAAAGTGCAACTTGGCATTAAATTGATTAGTGATTTCAGCATAAAATGATTTAAATGCATCAAACTCTTGGGACCGATATTTAAGAACATATAACCAAGTCAAACGGGAATGATCAGCAATAAAAGAAATGAAATAGCGTGCACCAGACAAACCAGTTGTTCTAGCTGGACCCCAAACATCGGAGTGAACCAACTCAAAAGGATGTAAACAAGGACCATGAGGTCGACATTTAAAAGTGGCTCGATGATGTTTATTGAGCTCACACGTTTCACAATTAAAAGTAGAAAACAAAGGTAAAGAAGGGACTAAAAGATGAAGATTGGCAGTTGATGGATGTCTATGTCTACAGTGCCACTGATATGGAGAAGTCGTGGTATGAAAGGCAGAGGAAGTTGATATGGGAGAGGGTTGGAAGTAGTAGAGACCATTCTTTTCATATCCCCCACCAATCGTCCTCTTCGTCTTTAGATCCTGAAAAACACAATGAGAAGGATAAAAGGTGATAGAACAATTTAAAGCAGAGGTAATTCTATGAACAGGTAATAAATGAAAAAGAAATTGAGATAGGTATAAAACAAAAGAGAAAGACGAGAGGTAGTAACTCTGCCAACCCTCTGAACTGGAGATTTAGAACCATTAGCAATTGTAACAAAGGAAGGAGAGGGAGTACTTGAAAGATTGGAATGAATTGAGGGATTACCAGTCATATGATTAGAGGTTCCAGAATCAATAATCTATGGCCGATTGGATGAGGAATGGAGGCAAGTATTACCTGAAGCACCCAAGATGGCTGTTGAGGTAGATGAAACATGAGTGCGCGCCAATCTTTGAGTCACTCTGCTTTGGAAAGAGCTACAGTCTCTTCATCAGCAGGAGTGGAGATCTCCCCCTCAACAGTAGCATGATTAGCCCATGTGGGCTAACCACCGAGTTTCCAACATTTGTTAACGGTATGGTTGGTGTGATTACAATGAGTACATTTCTTGAGGCCACTGCGACCACCTTGAAAATTCAACGTTTATTCGAAACATGTCCCCCATGACCATTATGGGAATTATCAGAGCGCCCAACGGGAGCTGCAAGGGCAGAACGATCGGCTTTGCCATGGAGTTTCCAACATTTGTCAATGGTATGGTTGGTGCGATTACAATGAGTACATTTCTTGAGGCCACTGCGACCACCTTGAAAATTTCGACCTTTATTCGAAACATGTCCCCCACGACCATTATGGGAATTATCAGAGCGCCCAACGGGAGCTGCAAGGGCAGAACGTTCAGCTTTCTCTGGAGAAGATAGGTTGGCCCGCCGAACACGATTATAGGCCTTACTAGCAGATGGCAAAAGTGTACCAGCAAGAATCTGAGAACTAACAGGAGCAAATTCGGGTCGAAGTCCAGAAAGAAATTTGTCAAGCGAAATTCTTCCCTGTATCGTTTTTGAGTCTCCATATCAATAGTCAATGGCTGATGCACATTCAATTCCTCCCACATACCTTTCAAGGTGGAGTAGTAATCTTCAATAGAGCGATCTCCTTGTATAGTGGAAAAAAGATCCTCATAAAGCTGATGAATCCGAGAGATGTTTTGCTCGGACGAAGACATCTCCTTCAGGGCATCCCAAATCTCTTTAGAGGTTTCAAGAAAAGAGACTTGTCGAAGACCTTGGGCTCTATACTGTTTTATAACCAAGTCATAATTTGGGCATCTTCTTGTTCCCAAGCATCAACCAATTTGGCATCAGTAGGTTTGGTTGACTTGAGATAAGAGAACTTCCCTCGAGCTTTCAAAGCAACTTGGACAACTCGGGCCCATTGAAGGTAATTGGGACCCTTGAGTTTAATATTGGTCATGGAACCAAAGAAAAGAGAATCTTTAATATCTGTTTTGTCACCCATGGAGACCAAGGAAGAACGAGATGAGATCCGAGTAAGAATAGCATCCAAGCAAGGAGATCAGCGAGAGGATTCTTTCCAAGCAAGGCTATGCTATGCCATAGAGTCAATGAAGCTGTAACTTTTTTTTTTTTTTTTTACATAATAAAACAAATAATAGATATTAAACTGTTTACATAAGAAAACAATAAAAATAAATAAATAATAAACTAGAATTCTTAGAAGGCACTAGACTTTTGATGTGAGAACAATAGAGAGAAATGGTGGAGACTGGGTGAAGAAGAGGAAGACAGGAGTTGGGTCTCAGGAGCATTTTCACTAATACCATGTTGTAAATAAGAGCAAGAAAATAGAAGAGAAGAATTCTTGTATATCTCTTAGATGTGAGTACAGGTGGGTTTATATAGGAACCCAAGACATACAATCAGTACATTAATTTAGCCAATTACCAGAAATTAAGCTAATCAAAATCCTATAATCAAGCTCTTAGATTTTATGCATCAGAATGTTCCTATAATCAAGCTAGCAGTTTACATGTAGCAGAATAGTCAACTTTCCTAATTAATTACAATCTGTAAACAGCCTATATTCATGAGTCACGACAGTGTTTAATATTAGATCCTTGGCAGGATTTTTATTGAAGTCACCAGAATCAAATCCTCTAGAATCACATGATTTTACAGCCTATATGCATATTCATTTAACGGTCAAAAGACTATTAATTTAAGTAGTAAGACTTGAAAATTGAAGGAAAAGTAAACTAGACATTGAAAAGTATCTTGAATTGAGCATAATTAAAAAAGAAAAAGAAAAAGAAGGGAAAATAAATTATATTCAATAGGTGGAGACCACGTATTGCCATTGATGATATAGTACTGCTCCCTTGGTCACTCGTACCATGTTCACAGCTGGGTGATGCAGTGACCACTTCTCTTTCTCTTGCATGTAATTCCAAAAGACACATTAAACATCTATTACTTTTGGTTTGTAATGTCTACACTACGAAAGATGGGAAATTCCAGATTTTTTGTCCTCTATTCAATTCTTTCTTTTCACCCCCACCGCATAACTTTCTCCTCTTTCCTCTTCTCTCCTTTCTAAGTCTATGATCAACCCACCCTTGTCTATCATATATCTTAAGCTAGTTGACAAGGATGATCATCTATTTGTTTAGATTTTTGGTATTATGATAATTTCTTTTGCTTTGTTGGAAGTGTACACAGGGCAGTAAATGTGTGACAATGCAATTTTGATTTTTACTTTTGTGGCAACCATGTCAGATCACCTTACGTACGTGTTAATTCATATCTATTTTCATGTCATTGTCACATAGGTCTTAAGTAGCAATCCTTTCTTGGACAATTTTTATCACTTGGTACACAAAGTTCACAGGGTATTGATGTTACCCATTCAGTAGCCCACCTATGCCTTTAGTCAATTTTTGTGGTCTCTGACTTGACTGCTTTGATGTAGGCCTGTGACTTGAAATTTATAATTTCCGGTGCTTTTTATTATATCATGTTTTATGAAGAAAAAAAGAAAAAGAAAAATAGTAATACTATGTTGTAGGTAGTATTTAAGTTGAACATGTATGAACCAGAAGAGGATTAAGTAGTTAGTTTTTCGTTCCCCTGCTGGCCTAAATTACGAGTCATGAAGCTTACTTTTCCAGAATCTCTTCCCTTTCTGCTGAATCTGAATTTATTTGTTTGTCATTTGAATGTGACATCAACGCAGCATTGATATTGTATAACTGATGCAATCATGATAGGTGCGGCATTAAAAAATATTTTCCCTTTCAAGTGACTGTATAATTGTTTGCAAATTGTATAAATGCGACAGGGATTGGCATCAATTCTTTTAAAAGTTTATTTTATGCTAAGATAGATTAACACCCACCTGTTTACTGCTTAACATGTTGGCATAAAATTTCATCGAAGAATTGCGGTGAAATACATTTCCTCATGGTTTATTGTGACAAGTACTTGCAAAAAAAGGAAAATGTTTTGTTGGAATAAGTACAGTAATAATGCACCTGTGCTAACATAATCAAGAGTGGAAAGCAGTGGTGCCTATAAAATATTATCAAGTCAATTATTAGTTGGAAGCCATAGATGTTATATGAAATGGTGATAAATTCCTTGCTGAAGATGGACTAAAATCCTTTACCACTTGAATGATAAATCTTGATTCTATTTTCCATTTATTCACTTGAGAAGATCTCTGTGTAATTAATTTGCATAATCTGTGAATTAATAAATGGATGCTTGTTTCATGGCAGATGAGGTTCTTATTTTGATCTTGATATACTTATACTCCATGAGTTTTCTGGCTTTTTTGAGTAGTTTTTATTTAATATCCTAATTTAAATCATTGGCAGATAGCCAACATTTTTTCTACTGAAATTTTTGAAGAGGTTATAATTTTGAATAATACTTCTTGCATATTAAGTCACTTGAAGATCCCAAGAAAACTACAGATATTATTTTGGAGGCACTGGAAAATACAGGACAGAGGGGAATAATTGACCGAGGTTGGGGGAAGCTTGGTACTCGTAAGTGTCTCTATTTCAATTTAATTCTGTTAGGTCAAACCCTTTCTTCTTTCTATCTTATAAAGTTGTACTGTTTTGTGAAAGAATAAATTATGCAAATTGACTAGATTGCTGTCCACCAATTGAAAATTTTCAGATCCTACCCTTCTTATTTCGTTGCAGTGAGCAAATTGGTAATAATTTAGTTTTTTAACCAGAGTTACCAGAAAACACTACGCTATTGTGGAAAACATGCTACACTTTTGTTCCAAACAGTAGAGTAGTCATTCCAATAAAACATCTATCTCTGGCTAGATTTTCCTTTTTATAACATTAAATCTAAAAAATGAATCGGAAACAAATAGCTGGACTTACTTCCAAGAGAAGATTTAAGAACACATTAATATCTGAACTGATGGAGATCAAGACATTGCTCGTACACTTGACTCTCTTCTATGCTTGGAAAAGGGCAAGGAAAGATGGATTTTAGAAATTCCTATATATTTTAGGAATTATAATAAATATGAGTTAGTTTTGTATTATTTTCTTTAAATTAGTATTAGGGTTAGGTTTGCCTATGAATAGGATCTTCTGTCTTGCGTCTTTGTTCCAGCATTTAGCATAGGCACGACCACATGTTCCATAATGCCATTTTTTACTTCTTTATGTTTGTAGCAGCCAACTATTTTGGACATCAGAGTTCTTTGGATTGCCAATATATACATTGGCACTTGAATTGGATTGGGTACCTTTTGCTGAATATTGAATATTGACTGTTGAATTACAGACTCCTCCTCCAATTCTTCTTCTTCTCTTCTCCCTTCTTCCCTCTCCTTCTTCTCTCTTCTGGCTTTACATCATGAACTTATATGCTCTCAAGAAAAAGAAGACAATGAAAGCAGGCAAGAAGCAGCAAGAGGAGTGGGAGCAGGTCCATCTTTCTCATCCGAGAGGTGGTGATTTTAAGAGAGATCCCAATCAATATAGACAAACTTTATCCCCTTTTTCATTAGACAGAACTCTCACAGGAATTGAGTGGCCGATATAGGAAGTGACTTTGTCGACCCACTATCTGTTGATGATCGCGAACCAATTGATGAGATGAACTAAGTTTTGTGTTTTTGCATGATAAATACTATTGTGACAATTTCCAAAAACAGAAATAGTATCTCTCTAAGGGGGGTCTGGTCACACTGATTAAGAGCACCCTTTCCTGCCTCCCTACTTATTTCACATCTCTTTTAGATTCCTTCCTCGGTGGCTGAGAGGATTGAGAGATTGCAGCACAATTTTTTTTTTTTTTTTTGTGTGTATGTGTGTGTGTGGACTGGAATTCAAAAGGAGTGGGATGATTTCTGCTAACATGTTCGTTTTCAAATCAGAGATGGTAGGAGGATCGGATTTTGTGAGGATCTTTGGTGTGGGGAACTTCCTCTTGCGCTTGCTTTGTCATGGCTTTACAGGATTGCTTCCCATAGGCAGGCCTTGGTGGTTGACTGTTATCATCTTGATAACGGGAGATTGACTTGGGATGTTCAGTTTAGGAGTCATTTTCAGGACTGGGAAATTGAGGAGGTCATCCATTTTTTGGAGTTATTATACCGCTAGACGATTACAGCCGGGGATTCTAATTGTTGGCTTTGGAATCCTAACCCCCAAGGTCGCTTCGAGGTGAGGTCTTTCTTTAGGTTTCTTACGGTTGGCTCTGGAGGTCATTTCTCTTGGAAGTCTACTTGACGCTCCAAGGCTCCCCTCAAGGTGGCTTTCTTTGTTTGGACCTCTGTCTTGGGTAGGATTTTAACCCAGGATAATTTGAGGAGGAATCAAGTGGTGGTTAATCGATGTTATTTGTTCATGCGGGATGAGGAGACTGTTGATCACCTTCTGCTTCATTGCAGCATGGCTTCAGGTTGTTGGGATTTGATGCTTGGGTTGTTTGGGATTCTGTGGGTTATGCCTAGATCCTCTAGAGGGTTGATTGAGGCTTGGAGAGAATTTTCTGTGGGGGATCTCATTCGGGACGTTTGGAGGGCTACGCCTCTTTGTTTTTTGGTGGTGCATTCGGCTTGAGAGAAATCGGAGATATTTCGATGGACAGGAAAAGCCTATCTCTATGCTTAAGTTTTCTATTATTTCCACCCTTTTTTGTTGTTTTCAGGGAGAGATTTTAGATCTTTGGAGGAGATTGTTGTTTTTTTGGCCTTGTTGTTTGTCAATGGGTTTCTCTCCCCTTTTGAGCGCTTTTTAATAAATTTTACTTATCAAAAAAAAAAAAGAAAAAAAAAATACAGAAACATTGCATATTTTGATAATATTGTTTATCATTAACCATTACTTGTTTTGATAACCACTCTGCATATAGATATCCTTTAATTTATCCTATATGAAAAATATATGATTACTTCAATCTGTTCAACATATTAGAGTATGGACCATGTTCCGGTTATTTTCTTCATATTGGAGTGACTTACTAGGTAAAATTGCTGAAAACTTCGATGGAATCTAGACTTAATTAATTGAAATGTTTACTACCATCATTGTTACAGTAAAACAATGAGATGCCCCTACAATCTAGGGAAATTACCTCTTATGGGAATTTTTTATTGTTTAAATTGTATGCATTACAAAAATATAATGGTGAGAGGGATGGTGAGAGGGTCGTTGCTTGGTTCAACGGTTAAATGCTTAAACATCAGTGTCATTAGTGCGAGTTTAAGCCTCAGAACAGCCACTTTGTGAATTACTGAAGGTTAGGTCTATCTTGAAGCCTCGTTCCCCAGGACCCTGCTGTATGGAGACTCGATAATGTCCCTACAAAAATATAATTGTGAGAAGGAATTTTACTTAAATTCTGTTAAAAACCAAATAATTACTTAGTTTCCCTTATGCAGATATTTAATTTCATCCATAAGGTTCCCTGATTCCCGCTACGATCCTTCTTGTTTAGTTGCAACTTGTAACTATTCTATCGGATAATTATATTCTCGAGATAACAAAAATGGTATAATTGATAGAGAATTTTTTTTTTTTTTTTTTTAAAGTGACATGATATGAAACAAATTAACTTCCTAACCTACCACTGCCTCAATATTATGGTGCAGTGTGGATATCAGGATCTCCATTTTTGTATATAACTATAAAGGGTAGAATTTCCAGTCATTTTTTATGGTTGAGGATTTGTATAGAAATTCTAGCAAATTTCAATGCATTTTTTCCATCAGACGCTATCGTAATTCCCTTCAAATTGGGTCTTTAACACCACTATTCACATTTCTTCTTTATTAGAAGCATGCTCCCTCCCTCCTCTCCATTTGTGTGTGTGTTTGTTTTCTTTTAATGTCTAATTTCACTTTCACTTCAATTTTGTATTGCAGTTCCAGAAGTTCCTGACAACGTTTTCCTCCTAGAGGATTGTCCTCACGATTGGCTGTTTCCTCAATGTTCAGCTGTGGTGAGTTCTATTTTAATCTGCCTTCAAATTGGTGAACCTTTGTTATTTTTTTCTTTTTCTTTTCTAAATGGGTCCCGGCAGAGCACTACCAGTGATCTCTTGATAATAGGTAATTGTGGATGCTGAGATGTGATTGTCTATAAATTTAGAGAAATATATCGGCATCGAAAGTTATAATTATCTTTTAATGAATTGCGGTTATCTCTTCTAAATATAGTGAGAAATTATGGGAAATGCCAAAATGATGTATTAATGCAGATAGTAGCTAGCATTGTAAAATTACTGGCTGGTTCACCTATCATAAACCTGAAGTTATATTATCAAATACGCAGGTGCATCATGGAGGTGCTGGAACCACAGCTACAGGACTAAGGGCTGGGGTAATATTCTTGTAAATAAATTTTCATTTTACTGTCCTTCATTACTTGCAAGAATATGCTATCCGGATATTTCAATATGTTTAACTTATGTCTTTTTTAAGTGATCTAAACTAATTATTTAAATTCTAAGAATATAATAACTTAACAATGAGAGATGACAATTGAGTGACTGAATTGGCTCTTTCTGAAACTGAGATCTGATCCTTTATGAGAACTGAATTTTTCTTTTTATACGTTACGCTTAATGGTGGAGTTAACCGTATCTGATGTGCACATCATGAAATGCAGTGTCCAACAACCATAGTGCCATTCTTTGGAGATCAGTTCTTCTGGGGTGAGAGAATTTTTCAGAAAGGACTGGGATCCTCTCCAATCCCTATATCTCAGCTCAGCATTGAAAGCCTATCAGATGCTATACGATTTATGCTCGAGCCAGAGGTAAATAGAACGTGTATTTGTTCACTAGTCATTTTAAAGCAGATCAGATGTTTAAATAGATTACACCTGTCATTGTTGTCCTCTTCATATATAAAGTGCAACTGTGTAAGGCGTTACAAAAACTATCAATTAAGCTTACCCAGTGGGAATAATTACCTAATATTACATCAGTTATTTATAAATTTATCAGTCTAATAAAGTTTGCGGCTGTAGTTGCTCCTTTGATGTCTCACCAACAAAAAGTAATGTTGTCAGATAATTTCAGAATCAGCAGAGACTGGGCAGCAAGTGGGAACCTCACCTAATATCAATACCATTGATTCTCCTGGATTAAGAAGAAATGAACATAATTATTTTCTTATTATTTATATTACGTGGATCTGTGCTTGACTACTATACTTGAAAGTAAAGATTTATTTGATGGAGAGCAACCTTGTTCTTAAAGGTAATTTTTCCCTTTTCTATTGTTAGGGATTGAGAAATTTTGTGTGATGAGTGATAGATCTAGAGGTTAGAACAAACAAATACTCCCGAGTAGCAATTTTTCTTCTCATGGGGTGGTGTCTCATTATCAGGGCTAAATACATAATGTGAACAAACTCGGGGCGATTGGTGAAGTTGAACCTGAGTTTGGAATGTTGCATCTGTGAAATATTAATTGTTTCTGCAAGGAAAATGTTGACTTGATGAAGGAAAAACAAAGAAATAGATTGGCTGGCTTTGCTTATTCTATTTGCTGTGTGTTGAGAATCTTTGTTTTCGTTTGTTTATGTTCTAAACCTTCATGTGATGTCTGCTGTGTCCCGTATATCCATCCTGACTTACCATAGCTTTCTCTTGCTTGAAAAGAGATCTCAATAGTGCTTGATGGAACTTTGACTACAGGTGAAATCTCGTGTAATGGAAGTTGCAAAGTTGATAGAGAATGAAGATGGTGTTGCAGCTGCAGTCGATGCATTTCACCGGCATTTGCCTCCAGAGCTACCCTTACAAACTGAATCTTCAGAGGAAGATGATCATCCAAATCCTTTGCAGTGGCTGTTTATTCAAATTGGGAAATTCTGTTCTTGTGGTTCGTAGGTCTTATAGCGGCAACTTACAATGTTGTACAGTTATGGTTTTTTTTTTTTCCTTCGTATTCCGTGTTGTTTGCATATGTTCAATATTTCATTCATTTTATTCATGGCTTTCCTGTATGGTTTGAATAACAATAAAATGTTTACATAGTTTCCACCTTCATAAAGCAACTAGTGTAGGCTTCTTTTGTCTTCAGTTGTCGTTCTAATGGGATCAATATTTGAGTGTATTAGAGTTGTAAATTTATATTGGTTACTATAATTCAATTCCTGGATTTAATCCCGGTGATCAATTTATCATTATTTTCTTGGATTTCTGTATTACAATATATTTCTAATTTTCTGACTTAATTGAGCGTGGAGATTAGTTAATTTGATTCTTCTTCTGTGCTGTAGCTCTAGATTTTAGAGTATCTGCATCCAATATTGTTTTTAGTTTTACAAAAGCTGAGCCACTCCTAAGGTATGAACCTTTTGCCCTTTTGCCGATCTCCCCTTTGTATAACATTAGAATAAGAATTGAAATTGTACCATTTCGGAGATGATTGATACATATATAATGATTGATACATATATAAATTTTATAAATTGTCCAATATGGCTATAGAGAAACTTCCATGTAGTGGCTTGAATCAACTACAAATTTCCTGGCCCTTTAACAATGATGTTAAATTTTTGGACACCATCGATAAATACTATCAACTTCCCTTTATCCCTTTGTGGATTACATTTAATCTGAACCACTTAGGGCCTGTTTGGCGGGCGATGTGTTTTAGTCATTATGTTTTTAGTCAATACAAAAACAACCGTTTTGTTATACGAGTGTTTGGATAGAAATTCGGAAATTTGATTTGGTTCCTCTGCTAGAATAGCAAAACACACAATATCACCGATTTGGTGATGAGTTTGGACAAAAAAAATTTGATATGTTATGAATTATTTCAAACCAATATCAACTGTTTCAAACATGATATTGACCCAAATTTGGATACCAATATCAGAAATAAGTAAATAAATATATATATATATATATATATCATAACACATGCCAAACGGGCCCTTATCATACAGATTCCTTGCCACCATGTCAAACTTATACTTCATATCGCCATTGTCGGTCCTTTGTTGCAGAGTTGTAGCTTCTTCTCTTGCCCCAAAAATGTGCGTTATTGTGACACCAGTCCCACTTTGGCGAATAAGCATACCCTTCAAATTGCCACACTCCAGATGTGTAGTCAAAACCCTAGAAAAAAAAATTCGGGGGAATAAAAACCATGAGTATAACTGTGTTTATTATTTCTATGTAACTATCATTAGCATTTATGTATAGGCATGAGAATTAGAATCATATCATCATCTCTCGTGAGTTTATCTCCACATTTTTCATGTGCACAACACCATATCGTACGGTGTTGTGCGCAGGGAAAGGGTGGAGATCGTATGGTGTTGTGCACAAGAAATGAGTGGAGATCACCTCACGAGAGGTGTGGTCCCCACAAACAGAGTGGACTCTATTTTATGTGGAGTGATTTCCATCTTCTCGTAGAGGATCCGAGTGTGTATTTATTACGATCGAGAGAGTGGAAGTGAGTACATTAAGAAATGGACGTGTGTGCAATGCCCAAATACTAGCAATCCTGAAGGTTTTGTGAAATTCTATGCTGTCCTGAAATTTATATTGATAGACTACGGGAATTTTTTGGATGCTCTTTTGGTCCAATTTATTGTGAAAGTTTGACCTCTATTCTCAATAATGTTTATTATCAATTATGCCGTGACAGTTTTTTAGAAGGCAAAAGTTAAATACTAGTCTAATTGAAACTCCTCTCGCACTAATTAACTCTATTGGTAAGTTTTTTGGGAGTACTTTACTTAAATTTTTAATTTGAAACTCGTCATAAGCGAGGTCTGAAATTCGTTGATACACTGTGATTTACGTGCAATTTCGTACATTCGTAATTTGCAAACCATTTAAAAGTTCAAAGTGACTAACAAATGGGTTGATTCTCCGTTACCCTTAAAAAAAAAACTCTTTAGGTAGAATTCTTATGAAGCTACCCTTTCTGTTGTGCAATTATGTGGTTTGTTGAGACTTTAAAATTTGTTCTTTGATATTTGTTTGAATGTTAAGTTTTTCACCATTCAGAAATGTTGAACCTCTATCAATTAAAATTTTATCACTAAAATTATTCTTTTGATTAATATTCCAATTATGTAATTAAATGTCCTATAATTGAAAATCATTTAATATATATTTTTTTCTCTTCAAGATTAAGCCAGTGCTTGTAATAAAATGTAGCTTGGGCATGGTGCAAAATTTTGGAGTCAATAGGCTAAGGCCGCTTGGCATGCCATTTAAAGTCTAATAGAAATGTATCAACTAATTTCGACTACTAAATATCAAAGCAACAATCTTATAAGGTTTCGACATAGAGTCAACTTGAGTGAGCTTTAGCTCATTTGAAAACTACCATTTTAGGATATGGCTCACTTGAGGAAGGAGGTGAGCGGGAAGTCTTACGGAGAGATTCATACTTCATAGTAGTATCTAATTATACCTATTGTAAATATTTCTTCCGTCCCATAATAAGTGTCATGTTTTGAAAATGTGACTCATTCATGTTTTTTCCAAAACATGATACTTATTATGAGATGGAGAGAGTAGTAAATTGACTACTAGCTAATACCATGAATATGTAGCTCAATTACAAACTTTGGATACTCTCCCTTTTTTCCAAAAAATAAAAGCATTTCCACTAAAGACCATAGAAAAAGGAATTCCACTAAAGACCTAAAGACATAGATAAAACTAAATATATACTATATATATATATATATACATGAAAAATCAAATACTAAAATATTCAAAAATGTCACGGACTCCCAAAAAATAGACATGGCTGCATCATCCACTGTACTTTTTGTGGCTAGATGAAATAAAAACTCCGAATTTCTCACTCTTCAATACCTGTAGAATAGATGATCATTATCATTCTCTTCTATGAAGGAAATTTATTGAATTTTTTTAAATATTGGTCTCAATGCTTGAAAGAACCAATCTAATCAACATATTCATGGATCAAAGATAATGAGTCCATGAGTACAATTTTGTATTAAATGATGCTTACGGCATCTAATTTTATATATAAAAACAGATTCAGAGCACTAGTCTTCTACTATTGAAAATAACAACCATTTTTCCAAGGTTGCACAATTAGTAGGCCAGGTAGTTTGAGCATGACTATGAAAACATCTTGTTACGACGACTTCGATGCAAATATTAATATTGAGTTAAAAAAAAATAAAAAATAAAATAAAAAAACTAAATGCATACATGTGGAAGGGTATGTAGCATTTTTGTAATAACTAATAAAGAAGAGATAGCTGCCAAAATTGAATTGAGACAGACAGGAATTACGGTTGTACATGTACATAAAAAGATGGCACATGCACACACTCAAATAATAATAATAATAATATGTATCTAACTCCTTATTAGAGTGGTAGAGTTCAAAAAGAGTCCCACCCTATATTCTTAAATTCGAATTCCCTTTTCTCTAATATCGCTAACTCCTCACTCTATTCAACGACACACTTTTTGATCTAACAATTTAAAAATGGTAGAACCAAGCAAGAAAGACAGAGATTGATTTTAAGAAGATATTTAACTTCAAAGGTGTCAAAAAACACAAGAATTGGCCGGCTATGCATCCTTTTTAGGGCTCAGAGCCCAAACATGGTGTCATCTTGCCCAGGGAATAGATTTCCAGGCGCACGAGAGGAAGGGGATTAATAAGAGAAACTGCTAAAGGAAAGGAAAAGACAACCATGGTAAAGGCAATAAACAAGTATCTAACACAGTACTTATTCCTGGCAATAAAAACATTCCAAGCAATTTTTTGGTCTCCATGAAAAACCATGGATAAATCCCATGAAAATACTATTGTAAAACCCCATACTGTATATCACACCTGTTCAAAGTGTAAGACCACTACATTAGGTAACAAAGTAGGGTCATAGAGAAGTTGCTACAGAAGCTGCAAAAGTAGCAAGTAAAAGATATGTATGTGGCTTTGTTAGCCCCAAAAATATACAATGCTAAAAAAAACTAGCAAAGCCAAATGTCTACCGATCAGATTGTGAATCTCCAAATTAAAGATTCCTCACCCAAAAAAAAGGTGGAAAACCAGCCGCATAAAGCCAAAGATAAGCTTTTCAGTTCAGATCGCCCTCACCCTGCAAAAAAAAAAAAAAAAAAAAAAAGTGTTAGGAAGGAACACAAAAATACTATTAATAAAGAAAACATACATCAAAACCAAAATACAATCTAAGAAAACCACACACACTCACAATGGCACTTGAGAAGGCAGGAACAGGCAGTAAATCACTGACACCATTGAGGTTTGCCTCAATTACACAAGCCAGTTGATTTTACAAGAAGAAAAAAATATATATCCATAATGCACAAGTTAAACCCCATTATAAAAACCCCAATCTCTTCTATCTCTTCCCCATCTCTCTATATTCTCTCCTTTTCCTCTTCTTCCTCCATAACCACCAGCTCCATGCCTCTACCACCTTTCTCTCTCTTCTCTCACCCTTTTCTACTCTATAGGCTACTGCCTCCACTTCTTCACCATCACCGCTTTCCCCTCTCTCTTCTCTCCTACCACTTCCTCTACTTAATCAATTTCCATGCCGTTGCTTTGCAGGAACTCCACCAAGTCTCTCTCTTACCATCCCTACTTTCACCTTCCACATATCTATATATATGCATTATACACGCGAATGCATGCACGCGCACGCGCGCACACACAAACATAAACACACAGATCTGTATGGACACAACACACAAAAATATGTATTAAACACGGATAAATATATGTATATATACAAAAAACAGAAACACACACATATAAATAGGTTCTACTTCAGAATTATTTTCTTTTTCCTTTACTTTGAGTAGGTTATGGCCTTGCAGCCAATAGACATGCAGATTCTCCCATTAAATTACAGTGACCACACTTCCTCCCTCTATAATAGGTCCTTCCTCAAGTGTTCAAGTTCTCAGGAGTCAATCCCAACTAACAGGACGGGTTGGTACATCACGCATGCCAAATCTAAGAGGTGCCACAGTAGGATTTCGCAAAATTTGTCACAAGTGCCAAATCTTAAGGGTGTTAGTGTAGGTTTTCGTGTGTGTAAGTAGGACAAATCTCAACAGGTATACAAAAATGAAATGATAGGGACTGCCTCTAGATTGTCTAATTAATAGTATCTCCTGTTAAAAATAATTAATGCCATGTTCATTCATGTATATGTTCATTCATGCATCTATTATTGTACATGTATCAAGTGGATACATGTATCAAGAGTGTACATGTATCAAGTGTGTGCATGTATCATGTGTGTGTTTGAGATTGTCTTGAAAAGTTTAAAGGTCTATGGGAGAATAGTGTATATAGGGTAAGGTATTTGTTGTTTAGATATGAATACAAACAAAGAGTTCAATACAATACAGAAAAATATTTGTTTATTCATTCTTCTCTCTTCACTTAGAAATTATTTAGTTGGTTGAAACTATAGCCAACATAAGTGGTATATGAGCTTGATTTCGATCAAGAGCAAACTGGGCGTGAAGCTTATTGACGGGAAAACAAACCCCGAAGAAGATCCATCGTGATGGCGACTACAGGCAATCAAAACCAAGGTGCCCATCAATCAGCACTTCCCATTTTTGATGGGGAAAATTATGATTTTTGGTATGTGAAGATGAAGACCATTTTTCTCTCATATGATTTATGGCATTATGTTGAAGATGAGTATGATGAACCGGAGGATACAACAACTTTGACGAATGCCCAAAGACAACAATTGAAAGATCATAAGAAGAAAGATGCAAAAGCTTTAGGCTTTATTCAACAAGGAGTTGCTGATACAATCTTTTCCAGAATTATCAATGCTTCTAAAGCAAAGGAGGCATGGGATATGCTCGAGAAAGAGTATAGAGGCAGCACGAAGGTAAGAACTGTAAAACTCCAATCTTTGAGAAAAGATTTTGAAAATATGAAAATGAAAGAAATAGAGTTGTTGAAAGATTATTTTTCTAAACTTATAGAGGTGGTAAATCAAATGAAGACCTATGAGGAAGATATTTCTAATCAAAGAATTGTTGAAAAAATTCTGATTAGTTTGCCGGAAAAATATGACTCTATTGTTGTTGTTATTGAAGAGACTAAAAAGCTTGAAAACTTGAGTGTTAAAGAATTGATGGGTTCCATAAAAGCATTTGAGCAAAGGTTGAGTAGGCGCTCCGAAAAGACAATTAAAAGTGCTTTTCAATCCAAGCTCAATGTTAGTTCCAAAAATCAAGAAAAATACCCATCAAGTTTTGATCGATCCAAAGGTGAATCTTCTAGAGGTGGAAGACACGGAAGAGGAAGAAGAAGAGGAAGAAATTCAAGAGGAAGAGGAAGAAATAATTTTGAGAGAAGTGGAAATATAGAGTCCATTCAACAAAATTGTGGAATTTGCAAGAGAAGTAGCCATGTTGACAAAGATTGTTGGTTTCGGGGAAAACCTCAATGTTTCAATTGCAAGAAATTTGGACATGTTCAAAAAGATTGCCGGTTGAAAACAAATCAGCAAGCTAATTTTTTCGAAGAGCAAGAAGGTGAAACGAGCATGTTTTATGCTTGTCACTCGACATCGGAACAAAATGATGATGTGTGGTTTCTTGATAGTGGGTGTAGTAACCACATGACCGGAGATAAAAACATATTCTTGGAGATTGATTCTTCATCCAATTCTCAAGTGAGGATGGGAAACGGTGCCTTGGTCCAAGCAAAGGGAAAAAGTATTATTGCCATAGAGACAAAAAAAGAAAGAAAGCATATTCGGGATGTGTTACTTGTTCTGGATTTGGAGCAAAATTTGTTAAGTGTTGGACAGCTTGTAGAGCATGGGTACTCTATTCATTTTGATGAGGACTCTTGCAAAATTTATGACAAGGGAGGACAAAATCATATTGTGGCAAAAATCAAGATGGGCAAAAATAGAAGCTTTCCTCTCACTTTTTCATGTTCAAAAAATATGGCCTTGAAGATGGATGTTGTTGATGAGTCTTGGCTTTAGCATAGAAGACTTGGCCATTTGAATTTCCAAAGCTTAAAGAATTTACAACAAAATAGCATGGTATATGGGCTGCCAACAATACAAGAAGTTAAAAAAGTTTGTGAAGGTTGTGCTCTTGGCAAGTATCACTGAGAGTCATTTCCGAAAGAGAAGGCATGGAGGGCTAAAGCACCATTGGAGCTTGTTCATACCGATGTGTGTGGACCAATGACAACACCAACTCATGCGGGTAACAAGTATTTTATTATTTTCGTTGATGATTTTTCAAGAATGACATGGATTTATTTCATGAGACAAAAATCAGATGTGTTCTCTATTTTCAAAAAATTTCAAAAGCTTGTTGAAAGGCAAAGTGGCCATCTTATCAAAGTGTTAAGAAGTGATAGAGGTGGAGAATACAACTCAAATGAGTTTGAAAAGTTTTGTGAAGATATTGGCTTGGAGAGACAATTAACGGTTGGGTACACTCCACAACAAAATGGAGTGGCAGAAAGGAAAAATAGAACAATCATTGAGATGGGAAAATCAATGCTTCATGAGAAGGGGCTACCTAAATCATTTTGGGGTGAAGCCGTGTATACGGTTGTTTACTTGATGAATAGGAGTCCAACAAAAGCGGTGGAGAATAAAACCCCATTTGAAGCATGAAGTGGAAGGAAGCCATCATTGAAACACTTGAAAGTTTTTGGGTGTATTTGTTTTGCTTATATTCCAAGAGCAGTGAGGCACAAACTTGATGAAGCTAGTGAAAAATGCATCTTTGTGGGTTATAGCTCAAAATCAAAGGGTTATAGACTCTTTAATTTGAAGAAGAATAAATTGATTATTTGTAGAGATGTTCTTTTTAACGAGAAGGCTGCTTGGGATTGGAAAGAGAAGAAAGTTCAAGATGAAATCCCCATTTTCAATGAAGAATCAGGAAATCAAGAAAGTGAAAATGAAGATTTTCTTGAAGTTCCACAAGAAATGTCTCCCGTATCTAGCTTACAATCAATCCCAACTTCTCCATCAAACTCAAATTCTTCATCTCCAAGTTCAACTCCAAGAAGAATGAAAAGTCTTAGTGATGTGTATGCAAGTTGCAATTTTTGTGTTGTTGAACCGAAGAACTTTGAAGAAGCAATTAAACAAAAGGCATGGAAGAAAGCTATGGAAGATGAAATTTATGTGATTGAGAAGAACAAGACTTGGGAGTTAGTAGAGAAACCGGAAGACAAAGATGTGATTGGTGTGAAATGGATTTTTAAAACAAAATTCAATCCGGATGGCTCCATTCAAAAGAACAAAGCAAGACTTGTAGCAAAAGGGTATTCACAACAGCCCGGAATTGATTTTCAAGAAACTTTTTCACCCGTGGCTCGTCTTGACACAATTAGAGCACTCATTGCCTTGGCGGCTCAAAATGGTTGGTCCTTGTATCAACTTGATGTAAAATCAGCCTTCTTGAATGGTGTTTTGAAAGAGGATGTCTATGTAGAACAACCTCAAGGCTTTGTTGCAAAAGGAGAAGAAGAGAAAGTTTACAAATTAAAGAAGGCTTTGTATGGCCTAAAACAAGCACCCCGGGCATGGTATAGTGAGATTGATTCTTTCTTCATCAAAAAAGGCTTTCAAAGGAGCAAAAGTGAGCCAACCTTGTACTACAAGACACAAGGTAAAACTGGGATTCTTATTGGTTCTCTTTATGTTGATGATTTGGTATTTACCGGAAGTGATGAAAAAATGATTGATGATTTTAAAAGAGAGATGATGAAAAAATATGAAATGAGTGATTTGGGTTTGTTGCATTACTTCTTGGGCATTGAAAATTATCAAAAAGAAGGAGGAGTTTTTATTTGTCAAAAGAAGTATGCAAAAACTCTTCTTGAAAAATTCAAATGCAAAAACTCTTCTTGAAAAATTCAAAATGTTGAATTGCAAATCCGTTTGCACTCCCTTGGTTGTGAATGAAAAATTGATGAAAGAAGATGGAAGTAAAGAAACGGATGCATCTCTCTATAGAAGCTTGGTTGGAAGTCTATTATATTTGACATCTTCAAGACCCAACATCATGTATGCTACAAGCTTATTATCTCGGTTTATGCACAATCCAAGTCAAATTC